CAGTTCGTGTAGATTCTCGATTTCAGATCGCTCTCTGAGGTTCCCGCTCTTTCTTTCTCGTGCCATTAACAATGAACTATGACCACCTTTCAACTGGAAGCTCAGAAATTCTGGAAAGTCGAGCAGCGTGTCAGGATGAATCAACGTTTTCCTTTTCACGGGGCAATTTCCACGAAAATCTTAGTTCCGCGCCGTCTAAATCTTAGTTCTGCGTCCTACTTCTAAAATGGTCAGCGCGAATTCGTTGCTTCGTTCGGCCACTCTTTGTCCTGCGTGGCTTTCGCAGAATTTATTTTCGCAGCCTCGAATTAGTCGAGGGTCAATGACAACCGCGATGAAGGTAGTTAACGCGAGGGCTCGCCGACGCTTTTAAATAGATATCAAAAGGGGAATATTCCTCGCGGAGGAGGAAAGAAACAAAGCGGTTGGGCGAACGATGAGAGGATGGAGGCGGACAACACCACGGTCGAAGAGGTTGACGTTTTGATACCGAAATAGCCTTTAAACCGCCACAAGTCAAAAATACTCGCGCTGTTCCCTCTTAATGTCCTCTGGAACGATAGGGCGAGGCGAAGAAAGACCTTGGTTCGAGGGTACAGAGGCTAGATCTCGTGTACTGATTCAGACAGAAGAAGAAAGAGAGAGAGAAAGAGAGAGAGAGAGAGAGAGAGAAAGGTTTTGATTGGTGACCAACATTTGTTCGGACGAATTCGGAATAATTGAACTGAGCTACATATATGTAATAATTATCTTGAAAGTTTTTTGAACAAATATCTAATGTTTCTAAAGTACGAATGATAGACTCTACCTTTGGAACGTTCACTTATGTTCACTCGTAAATGTACTCTTGCGAGTATCCACGAAATACGTTTGCCTACTGGTATAATTGACTGTACTGTTAACCATATCAACAACTCGAGTACTAACCTAAAGTTGGCGATTCGGGTGCCGCGTGTTAACGTTCGTGCTATTTTTTCTTTCTTTAATCTCTCCTTCGCGAATCGTATTGATATTTTCTGAAGGACACGAAGCTTCGTACAAAAGGAGGCATTGTATATTGTTTCTAATACGTCCTTGTTCCTTAAAAATCTCCTTTCCTCCTCTTCCACTGGGAAAGAGAAGAACGAGCAATTGGAACGTGTATAAACAGGTGTACGGTTTGGTCGCTCTCGACATTCGAAGCGTGCAGTCTGTTTTTTGTAAAGTGTGTTCCACCTTTGTCATAGATTTTCATGCTGCTTTCTTTATTAAATTAAAGCATCGCAAAGAGCGTTTCTTTGTCATGAGAAGTTCAAACTGATTGTCAGACTAAAAATCTTTCGTCAGCGATACGAACAAATACCAAAGAAATATTTATTAAGTTTAAGAGAATTCCAAGTCTAATTAATCTATTTAGTTGCAATATTTATCTGTTTGCACGAAATGTAATAATTATTTTGCTAATGATTTTTATGAACATTAACCAAAGATATGGAATTTAAATGAAGACACATTTCGCTCATTAAATATTATAATGAGTATCATATTGGGTAAATGTACTAGTAGACATCATAGTGATATTTAATGACATGAGTATTTTCATATCTTTAGATTTCTTATAAATGCATTAATGTTCATAGTCTGCGCGATTTGACTAAAGTTAGGTATTATATTCAAAGACTCGATCAATATACAATTGGTCGTAGCGAGGTAGTTGAACGTTTCATGGAAATGCGTTGTACATGGTTCCTCTTCAAAGGATGACTGATCATAAGTTGAGGAAGAATACGTTTGTGGATTGGCTGTTTCCTCTAAACAGGTCAAAATATTGCGCTCATTATTTCGCTACATCAGGAGAGGTTGCGATTTATAAGAAACGTTTTATTTTGACATGAAAAAAAAGTAGATTTATCTGCTTTCCGAATAAAAAATATGAAATATAAATATAACTAACTATATTTCACTGCATACGAAGCGAATAGGTATGTATTCTATTTTATTGCTATGAAATTAGCGAAATATGATCTGCAATTCTGTTTGAATAAAAATTATTCAACATACTATGGAAATATTTGACTTAAACTAGTATGGACTGACTGATGTGAACACTTATTATAGAACATTTTTATGGATATACTGGGCAATTAGAATTTAATACAATCGCTATGATTATGAGAAATAAAATTCGAAATCAAAATGTGCAAGATAATATATAATACGTATTTAATAAAAAACATAACATACGTGCAACATGAATAGAATGATAATTGATATTAACATTTCTGTACCTACACTGGAGTCTTAGATTTGTTTCAAACTACGCCGAATAAAATCATAACAGCCGAATCCTGTCACGATGCTATTGAAATTTCATTTTCTATAACGCACACAATACGTTCATAAAAGTTTACGTGTGTTTATCTGTGCGAATTAAATGATTTCGCGCGTCATGTAATGGCGAAAATTTGTCATTTTCATCGAGAAATCAAGCTACTATTTTCTGGATGGATACTGACTATCACACATTCTCAGTCGAACGGTTCGCAGTAACGTGATTGATCGCAAAGAAAAAGCTAAACTTCGAAAACTTCCGCGAAATCATTTCGAAGCGGAGAGCTAAATTCTCACAATAGCCTTCTGGCGAAATGGCGCAAACGCGATCGTAGCTCTTGCCATCATTTCTCCTACAAATTTCCTCCGTTCGTCGAAAGTAGTTTTGGCTTCTGAAAATCTGGCTCCGCGGCGGTAGTCACTAACCTAACTAAAACCTAACGACGCGTCCGTTTACTTTCCTACGACAACAATGCTCATGCCAAGAGCAATATCTTCCCGTCGTTGCTATTTATTTTGAATGATTTAATATCGCCGATTTTCTTACGAATTTGATCATGCACGAGCGCGAGTGTAGGAATGTCATGTCGTTGGATCTGCGAAAACATCCGTTTCTTTGTAAATTGAAACAGCAAATATAATGTTTGGTTGACTAAAGGATTCATGTGTTCTACACATCTAGTTACTTTCACCTGAGAACGTACCGTATTTATATATTATATATATACTATTTAACAATGTTAATTAACGATAATGTTCACGCGTTTAGAGAATGTTTAGAGAGTGGCGGAATAGAATTTTCGAAATTGAATGAGTCAGAAATTTGTCGAAGTTCTTACTAATTTTTCTGAAAATCGTCTATCGCGGGAAAGGATCGATTTCATCACCGTTTTACAAGAACTACGATGATTGAATAAATCTTGGAACGTGCGTTAGGCTTCGAGGAATTACCTAATTATATTTTTATCGGAAAATTGTATTAGCTAGTCGAATTTGCTAATTTTATATTAGTTAGTCGAGTCGTTTAAATCATTTGAATTATGTTATACCAGCAATCAAAGTAGCTAATTATTCAAATGTTGAAGTAGTTGAATTATTGAAATTATGTTGGCTAGTCGAATTAACTAATTACATTAGTTAGCTAATCAATTAATTAAATTAATTATTTAAATGTTATATATTTGAGTATATCAATTCGGCTATTTTCGTTATTTTTATCGTTATTTTTCTCCTTAAATTACTGATATTTCTCCACGAATATCGTGAATCCCAATTTCAACTGGTGCTATTACCTGCTACCTTTGTAAACCATTTATACTGTCTCGAACTTTACTCTTCGAATCCCTTCCGCATTGACCTTTCAATCGACTTCAAACTTCTGAACTACCAGTAACTCCCAGAACTGAATATCAAGCGTCCAGAATTATTTCTATTGAATAAGTCCATCTTCCCGTAGTCTGGAGCTATCGTCGAATCTCATAAACAAATGGTCTTTTGACCAGCAATAAGCTCTCTCTGCGGGAATAAAAGAACTTTTCCCATCTAGTATCTCTAATCTCGCTTGTTTCGGGATTCCAGCGGCTGGTATAACACCGCAAAGTGGGAGGGAGAGGCATCGATCGCGCGAAACATCGTTTCGTGGCTCGTAAATAATCCGTTTTCCCGCGAATCCGTCCAGATTTCGCTGGTCTGTTCGCGGTTTTGAAACAACGAGAACGCAAAACGAGCCGCGTGCCGAGAGAGAGAGAGAGAGAGAGAGAGAGAGAGAGAACCTATCACGTTTACGGAAATATTAACTTTGTTAATTGTGAAATTCAGAGGATGATAGTTTCGAGAATTGCGGATTCCGAAATTTATGTAATTTTCGACGCAGAAAAATCGAAAGGAAAGAGAGAACAGAAACGAGAGTTACAGAGAATGAGAGAAAGGAGAAAATAAAGGAAGAGAGTGAGAGAGCAATACGATTGGGAAGAAAGAAGACAAGGTGGAAATAAATGGGAAGATAAAGAGAAAAAAGAGAAAAAGATGGAAATAGAGGGGCTGAGAATCCATAACAGTATAAGTGCAATAGCATTCGGAATTTTTATACGAACTAACATACGAAGGAGTGAAAATTAGTAGTGCAATAGCATTCAGAATTTTTGTACGAACTAACATACGAAGGAGTGAAAATTAGTAGTAGTATAAACCAATCCAACCTTGTCTTTCATAAAACTTATTATTTAAAAACGAAGAAGAAAATTCGTTTTGTTTTTTTTTTCGAATGAGAGAAAGAAATGGAACTACGAAATTCGTATCTTTAAATCTACTATCATAACTATGTACTGATCCGCTGCCTCGGGTGTATTTGCTCCAAAGAATTTATCTCTTGCCAAATCAATCAATCGAAAGCGTGTCGGGAAATTGAAACGAACGACACTTTTGAGAATCGAAATTCTCCAAATTTTGACTTGTGCATACGCTGTGTGTGATTTCCAACAAGCCGCACGCAAATAGAGAGAAATCGGAAGCAAGAAAAAAAAGAAAAAGAGGGCGAGACAGAGAGAGAGAGAGAGAGAGAGAGAGAGAGAGAGAGGGGGCGAATGCATGGAGAATTTGGACAGTGGCCAAATCGTCGACACGAGGTTCGCCGAGCGTCGTCGCGAGGCGTGCCGAGTTGCCACGACGCCTGGCGTCGCGACGTCGCTGCTCAGACGAGGCTCAGTGTGCCGCGTATCGTCGTACGTGTATCTGCGCGCCGTTCCGCCTCGCGTGTCCCTCCTTCGTTCTTTCTGCTCTTCTATTTTCTTCTGGTATCGGTCGGTTGCTTGTTCCTCGGCGCACCACGCGACATCGAGACATGTGTTCGGCGACCAAGCAAGCTTGGATAGTGACGAGCAGATCATCCGACGACGCGATCACCGGCCACCGGAAGTGGTAAACGCGAGCCTGTGTTTTCCAAGACGTTGTGCGGTAATCATACACGTCGTAACGATTTTCACGAACGGTCGTCGTCAATTGTCGAAGAGATCTCGATCGATCGGACGAATCGCGTTTGTTTGTTTCTCTTCTCTCTCTCTCTCTCTCTTCTTCTTTCTTTTCCCTTTATTTTTGGAAAGATTTGACGAGGCTTCGAGATTTTTTCTTTCTGTTCTTTTTTTTTTTTTTTTGGTGATTTCGTTTGATTGGTCATTGTTAGAGTTATTTATTAGCAATCGTTGGGGTGGTGCAGTTGTCGCACGATGTGAGCAGCGTTAACGAGCTTCGATCGTTGCGCTGATAAAAGCAGGAAGAGAGCCCGCCGATACGGAGAAAGCGAGATCGTGATTGGGAGATTAAAATATTGCTTTCACGCAAGTGTCTGAAAGTAGAAATAGAACCGGACAACGGGTGAACGAGCGTTTGATTTCTTTCAGAATGCATTTGCTCTCTATTCATTGTTCATTGCTCTCTATTCATTAGTAAGAGTCTCGAATTTGCACGTCGATGCACTGTTAAAATTCTCTTGTTTGACGTAAAACTATCGCGGCGTCAGGAGCCATTCGACCGTGTGATATATTTCAATTCGCATCGTCACGGTTCCCAGGGCAAAATTGAATTTCAATTCGCGCACCTGTTCCGTGCGGCAATGTTTTGTGCAGCAAGGCGGCAAGACTCGGCGGAAATGAATTACGTGAGTTTATCCCTCGATAAGGTCGAGGTGGTGCAAGGGATGAGGATGCACGAGGCTCGTGCGGTTGCTCTGCCCTTTTGTTGCCTCGAAGGAAGGAAATCGGAGGGATCGATCGAATTTCCAATTCTCACAGAGAGTAAAGTAGCATAAACACCGTCGTGTAGTAGTATTTTAAAAGCCTGACTCGGGCTTTCGAGAAAACTCGAAAATATAGTCGTTAGGTTTTTGAATTTATACGACGATTGTTTTGGCTCGTATGTCGCGAAAGTTTTGCCTGTTAAATCTACTTTTTATCTGCTAGATATTACGACAAGTACTAAACTGGCTGCGTAGTCTGTCTATTTTTCAAAATTGTAGAAAAATTTTCAGTTTATCTGTAGAAAACTCGGTTTATAAAAATATCGTGCAATTTCTTTGTTGACAGTCAACATTTGCAGATTGTTTTCAAGTTTTATTAATGCAAATGTAACAGCCGTGCCGGTGAAATTTTTAAAACCCTTTACAGTATATACAAGATGTAGTACATACATAATTATATAAAAATCTGCAATCTGTGTGCTTGTCGTAGAAATTTATATATATAAAGCATCTGTTCGCGTGTACATACGCAAATATACATTTTGAAATACATTTTGAAATTTCATCAACACAATGCGTAATGGTACGCAACTGTCGTAATTATATTAAAAAATTGGAGATCAATCTGTAAACATGTATACAGAAGTTATGGAAACATTTACTGGAAACATTTAACAAAAAAATTAACATCCGAAATGAAATTATGGTATTTCAAACGTACGATAAGCTTATTTAATTGATATAATCGACTGATTAAATAGTTAGTGATTTCACATGATATGATTGTTCGTTCGAATAGTCAGCCACCTCAGTTTCCAAAAACACTTCAATATATTATAAATGAACGAGCCAAGTTCCGAGCCTTCGAGCTTGCGCCTCGCGAAATTTATCGAAGCTCGTAAACGCGCAAAAGGTTGATCTTTTCCACTTAACGTTGCACTTCGAGCGCAATAAACGTGTCGTTCCCCCGCGACGCTCAAGAAAGGCAGAAAGGGAAGGCATAGAGCCAGAGAGAGAAAGAAAAAAAAAACAGGAAGATCGATAGATAGATAGTTCCCTCTAATAAAGGCTTTATAAAGCGTTGGGGAAACTGCCGAAGGATCAGCTATAACATTAATAGCCCGTCTAATTCGCCGATTAAGTATAGACAACCGAGCGCGTATCTTCATCGCGTATATATTCTACCATTCGCATGATCCCCCATTGACGTAATTGATTGCAATTACGATACCTCTTCGTATCTCGATTTAGTTTTTCTTCCTTTATTTCCTGCCCTTGGCGATTTTCATTCCTTTTCTTTCTGGCGATCAAATTTCTCATCTTCCACTTTCTCATTTATTCTCTCTCTCTCTCTCTCTCTCTCTCTCTCTCTCTCTCTCTCGCCCCGTTTAAATACTCGGCTTTTGCCATTCCATCCTCATTCCATTCCGCAAATTGAAAAGTATCGCGGTTATATTTGAATATCGAGCACGCGGGATAATCCAGTCGCGTTTTATATTTCTACGAACAGCCCCGCAGAGATGAATCCCTCCCATTTGGAACAGTCTCCTCTATTGCGTTTATGTCTTACTTATTGCCCGTTTATAACAGATTCTCTCGCCTCCCGGGATTTGAAGCGTGTATCGGTAAAATTCTGGAAAAACATTTCCTCGTCTGGTTTAAACCCTTGCGCTGGCAACTGGTTGCGCGGACCATAACGAGTGACCGAACCGTATACAATAATTCGTCGCTTTCTTTTTCTTTTGAACTCGTCGGTATGATCGTCACTGGATAGAAGTTATTAAGAAGTAATAAACTTATCATTTGTTTTGTCTGGGTCACATTTAAATATACTTAAAACTGAGAAAGTGTTGCAATTTGGGACGAAAAATTCTCGACGTGCGTGGCAAGAGGTTTAAGAGATTTCCTTGATTCGTAGAGAAATTTCATAAATATAAGACCGATAGTAAAGAGAGTGTAGTCTAGAATGTCTAGAAAAAATTTTCTCGCCTGCTTTAAGAGATTTGTAGGAAAATTTTATAAATATAAAACAGATAATAAATATAAAGGGAATGTAGTCGAATTTTTCCTGTCTGTGTTTGTTGAGAGAAAGAGGCTGTTTTCTCTGTGTTTATATCTTATTTATTTCTCTACGACTTTGAAGACTTCGACAGTATGTTTGTTTCAACTGGTTTCATCTTGGGAAGATTCTAGGAAATCGGATCTCGTCGATTCGCGTTCGGCAATTTGATAGATACGATACACACGTGAAAAAATTATATACACGTTACGAATAAATAAATTTTTATTCTGAGCTGAAAATTTTCCTCTGATTTGTCAGTAGTACTATCTTCTCTCATCTATCTGTTCGATAACATGATTTGTTTAAATATTACTGCCCCGAGAAGACAGTGATAAATCTCTTTGAGTGTTAAAGAGAATCTTGCAAGCATAAGATCGACAGGAGAGAAAATATAGAATTTTTCCAATTGTTTGAGCTCTTGTATCGCATAATTATTTACGGAATAAAATAGAACGATCTCGGCGGGTCATTCTTAGATAAATAAATTAACTGCCGTGCCGGTACACTGGGACGAACAAATTCCTAATGGTGAAGTAACTTCAAAGCCTCGTAATTGGAAAAGGTAGTTACAATGTTAATTGTCGTGCGCTGTGCCGCTTTCACTGGCCAATAAATTGATTTGCAATTCGAGAGAGAGTGGTGTTTCGCGCGGAGTAGCTTCGTGAAACATTCTTTTCCTCCTTGCATATTCAAACAATCGAATATCTTGCGACTCGTTACGAAAGCATCGTGTAGTCGCCGACCTAGTTCTGCAACCTTCGTCGAAAATCTCGTTGACAAACAAACTGTTGCTCTGGGAATTTTTAATTATTCTCTGGCCGAGAGAAAGAGGTATTCATTATGTTTTGATGAGTGATAAAAACTCTCGAGTTCTAAATATTATTCCCGACAAAGTCTAGGGATCGCGTGTGTTGGGAGTTTCTCAGTTCATTCTCAAATCATGAATATTCGTTCTCAAGTTCCTTAATTATGAAAAATGTAACCTGTCGTTTCAAAGGGAGACGGAATTTTTATTTATTTATTGAGGTTATCTTCAACTTGACTTTGAAATGGAATCGTTTTCACTTGTCGTCACTTGTGTTCGAGGAACTGTGACAATCAGGATGATGAAAAAAAAAGCGAGATCAAGAAATATATAAAGGGATGTAAAGATCTAAGTATCTTATCTTTTTCAATGAAATAAATTTCATACACGTGAGAGCTTCTTCAAGTTACAAATTAGAATTTATCTTATCAATTCTTACATTAACACGATACGAAGATAAGTCTTTTGAGATAACTGTTAAAGCTTTCGTAAATCTTAGATTGATGTTCAGGACTAGAAGAAAAAGGAAAAATTACAATTTTCAAAGAAAAACGCGCCCTCAAAGCTACAAAAGTAGAAAAGAAACGCGGGTATTCGAGAGATACAATTCGGAATTACTATTTTTCAAGAAATACGTTAGAAAAAAATTACAAATTTCTCAAAGGAAAACGCGCCTCTAAAGCGCCAGAAACGAAACTAGAAAAGAACCTCAAAATTAGCAAAGAAACGTGAAATTCGGAATTACAATTTTCCAAAAATTAACGAGATCAATTAGCAAACAGTAGCAGTAGCAATTACAAAAAGAAACAAAAAACAAAAGATTCGGGTCGAGATCGCTTTCGACGAGAGAACCCGCGGGGAGCGAAACGTCTCGTCTCTCCGCAATTAACGACGGTGCTGCCACATGTTGCTTCAGAATTCACAAGTTTTCGTTGCCGGTGCGCGAGTTTCCGAAACGCCGGAGGGGCCAGCCAGCCAATCAACTCACTTGGACTTGCCTGCGCGCGACAATCAAGACTCTCCGCCTCGTCCCTGCGAAACTTTTAATCGAACGTCAAATCTGTGCCTCGCGTTCGACCAGTCTTCAACAGGGGAAAGAAGCCGAAGTGTCTGCTCGGGGAGTAATCAAACTCGTCTCGTTGGAAAGCTCGACCGATGGTTTTCGCGACGTAGTGAGAGAGAAAGAGCTCTTTTGGGACTCGGTAACTTCGCTTTGGACGATCGTTTCAAAGGGCAAAAGTGCAGAGACAAATAGAGAGAGAGAGAGGGAAGTGCAACGTGTTCCCGGAAAACGAATCCTGGGAATTGATAAAAAAATTCAAAGAGACACGTTTCCCGAAGTGGGAGAATAGACTCTTGGGTACAACTCGGTCGGTGAATTCAGTCGGAGATAGGTAGCGGGGTTTCTCCGAGAAGCCGGAAATCGTCGGGGGAGTGGTGAGAGTGGAAGATCGGTAAACGGAGAGAGTGGGAAAGATGTCGGAGAATTCTCTACGCCGGAAGACCAGATCGGCCTCGATCTGTGCGCCCGGATTCTCCAGTATGGAGCAAATGTTGGAGGCGATGCCTCCCTCGGGTGCCAGAGACAGGGATAAAGCCGACAGAGAGAAGGACAGCGGAAGCGGAACTCCCGACGGCAGTACGCCGACGAGAAGACGTAGACCAGCGACAAGGTCTCAGAGTGCTCGTGTCTCCAGCGCGAATAAGAGTATCCGTCGTCGAGCCGCCGCTCAAGGTAATCATACACCAATCTTGCTCGTCCTTCGCCATGTTCGTCGGAGTTCCTCTGAGATTATAAAATACTGTTCGAGTAATATTTTTAAATTTAACTAGTAAAGAGTTAAATTTGACTAGTCAAAGGTATTCACGAGCGGAGAAAGTACTGAAGAAATTTTTGTTTTTCCAAGAGATGTTGTATCTGAGACGAGAGAAAATTATGCAACAATTGAATGATACTTTTACAATTAAATTAAATACTCATACAATTAAATTAAATTAATTTTATTATGTACACTTATACTTGTTAAATGAATTTTATACCTAATACGAAATGAGAATTTGAAAGTTCTTTCTTGAAAGAAATTTTTTTCTTGAAAATATTCAACAGATGAGATATTAAGATAATGTTTACTTTATTAATTTTTTGGATTTATTCTTGAAGTGCAAGTAAAGTTCTCTTTTTTCTTAGTTGTATTTGATTACATTTTTCATTTCGTCAAATGGCAATGGATCTATTCACGTCATTTCACGTCAAGAGCAGTTTGGATTAGACAAATGTTGGATACAATAATAACTGAAATGTTTCCTACAATCCCACTGTCAAATCTCCCGACTATTTGTCATAGCACGTTTTGTTTGCATTCACGAAACATAGAGTGTTAATGTCCCGGATAACCAGTTCAATTTTAATCATTCGCGCCAGTTCAATTCTCTCCTGAAATTTCGAAATTTATTTATCCTCTTAATGCCGTATATCGTCCAATATATATATATATATATATATACATATATGGTATTTACTCGTTTAATTTCTTCACTGTGATATTTTTATTAAACTTGACATTTAGACAAATACTTTTACTATATTTATATAATTATTTGTAATTATCTAAGAATGGACAGAAAAATGATTACGAAATGTGATACGTGTAAGAAAACGTACATTAAAAAATGTTACGTGTACTTTTATTTTTATGGATTATCTACGTTCTTTGTAACGAAAGATTTAATTCACCCCGAACCACTCAGTGATATAACGTGCGGAAGTTGCGACAAAATGAAATAACCTGCGTCATTAATTTTATCGAAGTAAATGAACCGTTGAAAAAAAAAAAATTGCATAGGGGATCCAAGAAATAATAAAACAGAACTTTAATTAAAAAAAGCTTAAAAAAAGATAATTTACTGAATTTCTAAAAACTTTGTGCGACGTTGTAGCGCAATATAAGTAAAATATTTTGTATGTTAAGCAAATGTAGGCAATTATTTGAGTAATAGTAAATAGTGTTAGTAAATAATTTAATAGTAAACAGCAATAACAAAATAAGCTTGATAGTGAGAGAATAGTGAGGTTTGCCGATATAAATTAATTAAAAACCAATTACACGTGAAATATTATAATGCGTAACGTTAAATTACTTGAACGATGAAATTATATATAATATTGTATTACAATACAATATCAAATAAATGTTATAACATAACATTAAGTTACTTAAATAACAATGAGTCGTTCCGCGTTTTTACATGTTACATTGTCATTTATCATCGCTCAAGAACAACGTCACCCTCGTGCCTTTTTGAATTAATTTCCATTAAAGAGGTCTCTGAACGCGTTAGAATTTTCGCGTGATCAGTTCCCATCGAGCGTGGGTGATGTCACTTGTTGATGGAACGTGAGAGAGCACGCAGATAACATTGGTCTTCGCGGCTCGATGCTTCTCACAGCCCTGTGCGTAACCCATTCGCTTTTAAACTAACTCTACGAAAAGGTGAGGTGACGTCGCTTTGACGTCGTCGTTTCTCGATTCATCACGGAGCATGAACAGATCATGATAAAGGTCTCGCGACTACGGAGAATATTCAACAGCCTTTTTCTTCATAGCTAACAGCTTTCAAAATGCCAACGTTTAATCTTCGCGTCGCACCTAACTGTGTCTTTTTTCACTTGGTGTGGCGAAAATTATTAATAGGAGAATTAGCGTCGTGCGGTCGGGAAAGGATCAAAATATCATCGGTGGATATTTAATATCGCGTCGTCGTTTAATCATTTTGACGGTAAATTGATCGGAAAAGCGTATTTTCCGCTTCTTGCTTTTCTTCAGATACCTATAATTGTTCCTTCAGTTGAAACGTTTCAAGTTTTCTACACTCTTTGAAAGATTAACATAATATTTAATTTACTTTTTGAAAAGTGAAAAACTTGAAATGACTTGAAATGTTTTCGACATGTGTATTAATACCAGAGTTGGGTAAATAAAATTTTATTCGAATAACATATCAAATAAATTCTTCGAATAAAATTTCATTCCAATAATTAGTCCAACTGTAGCTGCAGAAAAGAGGCCGTGAAGTCGTTTCTTGTGAAATAATCAATTTGGTATACGGCTACATTTACTCATTATTGAATTCCGTATAACGAATAAAGTCATGTTCGAATAATCTCTATTCGAATAAAATCGTTATTCGTAAATAACGAATAATTTTTCCTCGAATAAAATCGTTATTCGTTATTTACGAATAAATTTGACAGATTTATTCGTTACTCGTTGTTCGAATAAAATATGCTCAATTCTGATTAATACTAAATGTGTGTCTGATATAATGTCTGATAGACACTAAATGTAAGTAGACAACCAAGACAGTATTAAAATAGGGTGTAAATGTAGTAACAAGAATTTTAGAGCCGAATTATTTCAGAACGTCAGACATTTAGCTTGAAAAATTAAATTTTCGGTTGATAATTGCAAAATTTCTAAATTCGAAATTATCACGTAGCTCACTTGGGGTATTGCTTGAGATATCGTTTCCAACCATCTTTTCTCGTGTCTCGGGACTCGAAGACATTCCATTAACGGATGAAAACGATCCGGCTGACCTCTCGAGTGTCAGACGAACTCCAAGCCAATTGAATTTACTTATCTGAACGTAAACTTCAATTACCCGAACGAGATACCGTAGGTAGCGAAGAGAATCGGTGAATTTTCATTACACCAGCTGGTTGTTCGCGATGAGTTCAGATAAATAGAGTTCCATTGTATTTCGAGAACGTAGCTACGAAATGGAATCCTTTCACGAAGTATGAGTCCCGGTTATGTTACACCTAAAAACAATCCTATTAACGCGTATATACAGTATACAGCATACACCTAAGATATAATAAATCTAAACCTAATATAAACCTAATCTAAATAATGAATCTGAATAAAAGTGTTCAAATAATTTGTGAATTATTTAAATTATTTTTTATTTAATTATTGTAATAATATTATAATTATATTATTTAATTGTTATTATAATAATTATAATTTATTTAATTTTAAATAATTAATTATTTAAATTATTTAAATTTTACTGACGTAACTTCCACTTCCATTTAATTTACACTTGTTGAATAGCTACGGTTTTTTTTATATCGGAAGGTTATCCAGATCCCAGCTGGTTCGTAATTTCCAAAATTTACTAGTGGAATTCTATATCTTGGCGCATTCCATTGTGCAAGTTAATTTATTGGTAATTTTCGCCCCAGTTGCTATTATTAGTTCGATATTGCGCAAAAGGTGGTGCACGAAATATAAATAACAAAGACTTATCAAAAATTTATTAAAAAAGGTAAAGAAACGTAGTAGCAGCACGTATTTATATAGTATATTTTGTGGTATTTTAGAGTTAAATTTTCTCTAGAATTTGTTATTATCCCTACTTTCATTATCGTCGCTAATCATTAATTATCTTTTATTTCTAACGAACTCTGTTGTAGTTAGAATAGCGATCATTATAACATGAACAAACCATGCATCAGCGCACAGTTAATACGCAACACCGAAACTGATGAAATTCGAGTAATCGCCTAATTGCAACGTGCAGCTAGAATTAATTGAAAAGATACAATTATTAATAAATTCTATTATTTTTCATTTCATTAACATGTTTTGTTTCAATTTACTTCAAATATGCTGTCGTTGTAGCTCTTTGAAAATAATTCTTTGACAAATTGCTCTTTTCCTATTACTCACTCGTTATACATAGATTTGTAAAATATAATTGGAATGGCTTCAGTTTTCGTGTTTCTAATGTTGGTTTTAATCGTTATACGTGAAACGATCTGCGGCGACTCACTTGATTGTAGTCGATACCCAAAAGTGGCTTGTACGTGCTAATGGTCATCATCTAAATTAGGTCGTTACACATTTAACGAACATATGCACGTACATGTTGTATATGTGATCATTGTTTCGTCGCCATGTGCTATATTTACATGATTTGTACATATGTATGTACCATTGGAATGTGTTTGAACGTTAGCATTAGGAATTAAATTATCATACTGTAACAAACTATTGGTATCTATGACAGGTGTTTAATTGACGTTCCCGTCTAATTGAAGATTAATTTTTCCTTAGAGAAAATAATTAATTCATATTTTTGAATTTTCTTTAAACGAATTGTTGAATACCAACGAGAGGTTTTCTCCTTTTAACTTTTAGAACATGATAATTCTAATTTTATATAGTTAGTTTCTTATATTTCTCTGACATTATTCGCTGTAATAAAATCGACTTGATCAAATTATATTCTTTTTTTCTAAACTTGTTATATTCAAAGAACCAAAGAACAAATATTTTCAGTCTCATATAAAAATTCATCGATTCTTTGATTTTCTAACAAATTTGTCAATTTTTAAATTTTCAATTTTATCAATTAAAATCCCCCAAAATCACACACCAAAGACTAGAAATCATAGTGTCATTATTCGTTATATTCTCAAACTTCATCAAACTGCTTCCTTCCGTCGTTGTTGGATATTTATACCAAAGAATAAATATTTTCAAACTCTTTGATCTTACGATTAACATGAAAATCGTTTATCGGTTTCTTCGATTTTCTAACAATTTTGTCAATTTAACCAAAGGACAAATATTTTCAAACTTCTTCATCTTACAATCAACATGAAATTTATCGATTTCTCGATTTTCTAACGAATTTGTCAATTTTAAAATTCCCATTTAATTTTATCAATTAAAATCCCCCAGAATCGCGCACCATGTCTAAAAATCGCAGTTTCAAAGCGTGTCATTTGTTGTATTCGTTATATTTTCAAACATCGTCAAACTCCTTCCGTCGTTGTTGGACAACCGGAGTTAGTCAGGGCGAACGAACGTGGCGCGTCTTTAAATAAGCTTGTTTTAGTCCACGAAACTCATCGCGGAACCGTATTTTTGAGTTAAATGGATCGGACGGTTCCTCGGGCGAAGGTGCACTGGCATCGTGGGCACCAGTTTCGTCTGTCAGTGACCTACTACCCAAACGAACGTTGCCAGAATAGAAGCCGAAGCGTGATCTCTCGGCGCGTGAACCGTGTCATCGACGCAATATGTAATCGTGTTCCTTACGCGCCGCTTTCACGATGATTTTCACTTACTTTCGTGAGAATTTCCAAGAAAAAATTGATTCCCAAGGTCCGTAGAAGCGTCGCGAAAAGGGTCGGAGCAACAAGTGATCTTTGAAATGAAAATTTATTCAGTTTCAACACGTTGCTTTTCGAAACAATTTTCTAACAACGAACGACAACGAAAGTAAAAAATTGACATTTCACGTTATTGAAAATTTAACAACGCAAGTTATTGACCGATCGATTTACAACAGCGAGCCTTCGTAAAATGCAGGATAGTAGATTTTTGAAAATAGCGAATCAACGCTTCTTTCCACTTCTCGTTGTATTTCTTTTTTCTTTCCCTCGCCCTTTAAATCCGCAGCGTCGAATAATGACGAGCGAAAGAAAGACAGGAAAAAAAGAAAATTGGATCGCACGGCGAAATGCTTTTTTTTCAGCTTTCTTTTTTTGTCCCTTCGATGCTTATTACTCGAACGAGGTTCCATCACACCGTGAAAGGGTGTAGATTTGTTTTCTTCTTTTTTCGAGCTTACTCCACGAGGGATTCTCAATGAAAGTCGTCGAGCGTGAAATAAAGCGAGCTGCCAGCTCGATCCTCCCAGCAAAGGGGAAGCTTTCGGGGATCGAAATATTTTTCAAACGACCGTCCGGAGATCGATTTCGTTCGTCGAGTCAAACCTTTCGAACCTTTCCTCCGGAACTCCATATATCCCGATATTCCTCGAACAAGATAATCCTGGATAAAGCGGAAGATCTCTTTTCGCATAAGAAGAAGCGAGCGAAACCTCTGAAAGATTTATTATCCTCTTACAAAAAAAAAAAAAAAAACTCACTATGGCGAGAATAGAACGTCGTTCGAACGAGATAAAAAGATTTTTAACTCTCTATTTGTTCAGACATGAACAAATTTTTATTAACCGTTTCATTTTGTTTCACGGTGTATTATTCTACTTTTTGAGACACATTCCCCCGCTCAAAGCGATTCGTATCTTTTACCTTTTAATCATTCGGCGCGTAATTACGCTGTACAAAAGTAATTTTCCGCATCTGGAATGTACTCGCGTCTCCGAGTAAGTAAACAGGGGAAAAGAGCTCGCGTTTTCGCGCGAATGACATCCGGGATTATTGCGTTGAAATCTTGACGCACGGATCTCTTTCGAATTTAATCGAGATGGTACGTTAAAAAAAAAAGGGAAGAGAAAGAAAACGATGAAGATAAGGAACGAGGCAAGGACAGTTTGATTTATGGTGGCGTCGAAAAGTTCCCCGGCAACATTGCCCGAATCGTTCAGTTTCTATTGAACGGGGTTTTACGTTTCGCGCGGTTCTTTTCTCCGAGTGTTCTTTAAGAGCTTTAAAAGACGGTCAACGGTGGCGGTAAAAAAAGTGGAAAATTCTCAAAGGGCCGGCGCTCGAGATAGCAGGAAGCAGTCGCGTGTAAAGCTTGTTCAGGGGATCTGGCGAAAAAAAGAGGAAGAAGAAATGGAGATATAAAGAGAAAAGAAAAAAAGATAAGGAAGGGGATTCAAGGGGAAAGATGGATACGTGGATGGACGAGAATACTAGAAATGTGACACGACGTCTTTGAAACTCCTTTCGCGGCGAAGTTGCCACTTATTTTTCATTATGTTCTCTTTCAAAAAGCGGGACGCAAGAATATAAATAAACCGCTGTAACTCGTTTCTCGCTGTGCGAACGCTTTGCATGAAATTACGTGCAGATAATATTTTTCGAGTTTCCCTGCGCGCGGAGTTACGAAATTATTTGTTATTAGCGTGCAGATTTTTGTGCACTCGTGGAGGAAATTGAGGAAAAATACAGAGAGCGCGTGAAATGTGCAAAGATATTTAAAATATTGAAAGTAAAATATAATTGTCATGATATAATATTGAAATATTGAAAATAAAATACTTGTTATAGCATAACGTTATATCTACGAGCGGAAACAAATTTCTGTTTCTGCACTTCTTTAATATAAATGTAAAATTGCACCGACAGTCTACCAATTGTTCTTAGCATAAAATAAAAGATTATTATACATTTAATATTATTATATTAAATATTCATTATATATCCTATCTTAATTACATCTTATCTTATATATCTTATTTTATGATTTTGTGATAAATTTTTTTATAAATTCGGAGGAGTGAATTGTTCAAAATGCGTTGGTCTGTTTTAATTTGTTTCAGCTGCGCATCACCATCATCATCATCATCATGAAGGCACAGTTAAATCTGCTCATTGCAGCAGCGAGCCCAGGTTGACCGATAATGATATCAGCCCTGGTCTGAGAAGAAGAGGCAGTCGAAGAGGGCAAAGTATGCACCACAGTCATCACAGAAAGAGCAATGCATTTTTGGACGTTCCTGACACCTCGGCTCAGATGCCACCGAGAGAAGATGGCGAGGACGAGGACAGCTACAGGCTTAGAAGCTTCAGTCTCACCAGCAAAGGTAAGTCTGTTATCAGTGTTGTCGATGATTGACGTCATCTATTTTTCTCATCCGTTTTAAGATCATCTTCATCAAATTCCAATCACGTCAATTTCGTTAAACAGAAAAGTCAACGAAATTACAATCGATAATAATTGTAGAAAGAAATTTAAGACAGTATAGAGAAAAGTACAGAAAATATTTAAATTTATTCTGATTTTTTTCTATCAATGATTTTGAAAAAAAGGTCCGAAGTTTCTTTCTGAAAGGAGTAATAATCAAATCAGAGAGCTTTCGAATTAAACGGATGTTTGATTGAATCTTTTTTTCTAGTACTTTCACAAATTTCTCAATTTCTACGTTCGTGAATTTTGTTTTCTTAAAAAAGCACGATAACCGAACCAACGAGTTTCGAATCAAAATCTTCTTTCGTAACAGTCTTAAGTATTATAAATCAAGAGAACAAACGACTTGACGCAATAACGACTATATACAGAGCGTCCCGAATTTAAATGTCAAAACTTCGGAAAATGTGTAGAAAATCGATAAACTAAGAAGAGAAAGTACACAAGTCCTTTGCTGAGATTTGTTTGTTTTGATTCCATTTTAGAGAAAATCGAGGGAATTTTATTTTCTCACTTACTCAATAATAACGTTTATTCGACGCCGAGCTTGGAGACCAAACGATAGTTTACTACATCAAAGTTCGATCTAATGCATTGCTGTGAAAAACTAGCATTTTGAACAATATTCTCGTTAGACAGATGATATAGATAATGTTGCAAGATGACAAATAAATAAATGGAAGAAACGAAAATTCTTTCCTCGTGAAAATTTTCTCCAAAGTGAGAAAGTCTCTGAAGAATTTTCTTTTTCTTATTAGTTTATCAGCTCCTAGAGTTTTGACATTTAAATTTGAGACGCCCTGTATGGATCGGTTCTTCGACGAGCAACAGATGTTCTCGATCCCCTTTACGGACAATTTTTCAATAGACTATGCCTATTATTTCTGCGACACGTGAGGATCGATGTTCTTCTCGAATGTCTTCGGCGATCATCCCCGATTGCCATCAGGTTTATCGGGGCCTGGTGGTTCGAGCCTGGGCTTCTGTCTCGAATTCGTCGTCCGGAGCCGTGGCCTGCGCTCGTCGAGTGAACAACTCGTGCCAGAAATACACGTTTTCGTAGTAGCCGGAGAAAGAAGGGCGAGAGAGACAGAGAGGGAGAGAGGGAGAGCTTAGAGATGGAGGCAGCAGAGAGGCGAGATAAGCGAAAATAGAGTATCTATAGCTGTGACGTCGTACGACTTCCTCGAAAGAACCGGTTGCTCGCCACGCGAGCTTTCAGAGCCAACGAACGCGCGTGAAAGTCGTTTACTCGTTAATCGATGCTCGTGATCCCGATTTCCAACCAGATTTCCGGACTCGCGCAATTGTGGACCGAGCAGGCACGCACCAATAATCAAGAGTAATAATCTCTACGTGAAATACAGAGATAATGATAATAATTGCTATGAAAAGTGATAATATTATTAATAAATATAGTTATTTATTATTAATTATTAAATAATAATATATTATTTAATAAATATTATTAAATATTAATAATATTATTAATAAATATTGTTCACACTAAAACTATCAAAAAATGACTATAACCTATCAGAGAAATAAATCTCTCAGATTTACAGAGATTTGAGTGGTTTTTCGTAAAATGCATAATTGCTATGAAAAGTGATAATATTATTAATAAATATAGGTATTTATTATTAATTATTAAATAATAATATATTATTTAATAAATATTATTAAATATTAATAATATTATTAATAAATATTGTTCACACTAAAACTATCAAAAAATGATTATAACCTATCAGAGAAATCTCTCAGATTTACAGAGATTTGAGTGGTTTTTCGTAAAATGCATAGACACATGCTCTTTGTGTTCTTTGTTGCATTATACAACAAAGTTTTTCTTACCCCTTGCTGCAATTTCTCTGACATAGATTTTGTACTTTGATCGTCGATAGTTGTGTTAAATATTTTGTCGTACTGAAATATTGGAGACATTTTCTTCATAGTTGTGAATTGGGTAGCAGTAGAATATCGCTTCTTAGTCAGACGTAGACGTACGTCCAGTTTACACGTATAGATCTCCTCAATATTATTACGCACACCCAATATCAATAGTGATTTCCTTGTCTAATGTATTTTAGTACGTTGTATACAGGAAATGAATATACGTCGTAAGTAATATGATATAATGAAAAAAACGATACAGTAAAACTTTTCAAGTTCAAGTTACTAATTGTAAATATATATAAAGTTTATTGATACTTCAGAAATAATATCATCGTTTTTGAATTAAACAATATTATCTGGAATAATATTGTTTATATTATTATAATGTAGGTACGTATAGTAATTATATATATATAATTATTACTATATATATTATATACTATACCACAAATTATATATATATAATTAAATATAGTATATACACAGTTCTTAAGATAGAACGATAAAATTAAACCAGCGTCAAGCATCTTCAATTCATACGAATAAAATTATTCACAATACGGTATACAAATTTCCTTGTTGAATTCGTGGCAAAGTCCGCCGTAGAGCTTGGGATTTCTTTCACAATTAAAATTTAATTCACGAATATCGCTGTTATCGTGTTTCCTCCTTCACAATTTATATTTCAACCTCCGTTCCCATTATGTTTGGACATGTTTGCCAATCTCGACTGTTTTCGTTTTCCCTATTGTTTCCCCTTCGAATCGTTTCATTTGCAAATTTTATTCGGAAGTTTCTCGCAAATTTTGCTCAATAAGTCGCTGTAAGGATGTCGAGTCGCAACGAGCTCTGAAAATATGTACAATTTCGTGGCGCCTCGAGCTATCGGAAGGAATTGTCGATGCTCCGAAAGAAAGAATTATGCCGAATGCTTTTCGAGACTCATTCGTTTCTAAATTAGTAGACCAGTGATGTAGACTCGTTGAAATATTTTCACTTTCGAGTAGTATTCGAAACTCATGAAATTCGATTCGTATAAAATGTATAAATGGAATTATATTGATGAAATATATATATTGTATAGATTCAACTACAACAAAATGTATGTTGAACTCGATTCATATACAACAAAGCGTATACACTGCAAACATATTCATTGAAACTTGACTCGTATAAGATGTATAAATTGAACTTGATGAAATATTATACATACATCGTATACATTGACCTACAATAAAGTATATGTCGAACTTGACTCGTATAAAATGAATTACATTGCAAGTGTACTGATTGTAAACACGTTTTCACTTTCGAGTAATGTTCGAAAATTGGAAACTCAGATGTCAAACATGTGTAATTGGACTTGATCCCATCTCCCATGGGCGTGTGTATTCGAGCCAGTAACCATTGCCAAATCCGTTTGCAATTAGTGTCAATACATCGACCGGGGAGGCGTCGCGGAATCATTTAATATTCAAAGTTAGCGAATCAATTGGGATTCTGTGCGTGACGTTCATTTGTTTGGATAAATTTATTGCAGTGACATTTCAGCGTTAGGATAATCGATAAATACAGCGTAGTAAGTATAAATGGCGTAAAGTAAGATCTTGGGAAAGATTAGATTTTTTCTCGTGCTTTTATCCACGGAACGTTTCGTGGATATCGCATCGATATGCTTTGTTTATGGGTTGTTTCCGTGTTTCTGCTGGTATATTTGTTTGTCCTTTTGTTTGACGTGATCTCGTTTCTTTAAAAATTATTTATTATATTTTGTATCGTTTTATTATATTTTTCACCTTTTTATTTTATATCTTTAAATTTTTTGAATTCCTTTTTTAATATACGCTATACATTAAGAATTCCAGTCGTCATTTCAATAAAATGAAGAATTAGGAAATATATAACAAGTAACTCTCTAGAAATTAGAAAAATATAAATAATTTTTTAATTTATTTGGGTAGAAAGATCTTGTTAGAAGCTAGATGAAAAGTTGTTGTTCCAACGAATCAAGTAATCAATATATTTTATTCTTCTATCCACTATTTTCTCACTTATTTCGTGTGAATCATTTTTCTGAAGAAACATTATCTTTTGCACGAAAACGATAAAAGTTTCTCGCTTTGTTTTCCAAACTTTACTAAAATTTGAATATCATCTCCAAACATTCCATTAATCCTAGAACGAGGATTATCAATCAAAGAATGAATTTTGATTTCACATTGATACGTCGTATTTATTAGTTTTCAGTTCACTTTTCCTATAGCGAAAAGTGTGAATTTGTGTATATATAACTTATATATCACGTAAGAGCAAAGAATTTTTTTAAATCAGTCTTTCACTTCGTGATAATAATTCGGTCTTTGTTAAACGAATCGATAGTCCATTGTTCAATTCAGACGTGGCTAACTGGCGGCCCGCTAGCGCTATCCCCTCCACTGCATCGAGGATTATCCCCTCCATTGCGAGAATGTTGCAGCCACATACTCGCATTAGCTATTTATATTTATATATACATATTTATATATTTATATATAATATAAATATTTATATACATACACATATAAATTATTTTTTTCATGTGTGTATATAGATAAATAAATTATATATATATACATAAAAATTATTTTATATGGATTTTATATAAAAAATTATATTTATAATATATAATATAATATACATGTATATATATATAAATTATAATATAGTATATATGTATATATATATAAATCACTTTAAATTATATATATAAGTATTATTTTAAAGTATATATATAAATTATATATGTATGTATATAAATATATATATAAATTATTTTTTTTACTGTAGCCACTAAAGTTAAAGAAAGATAGGGAAAACAATCCGCTGTAGAACAGAGCGGAAACTAATTTTCATGGCAAACTAAGAGAGTAGCTCGTGGTGGGGAAGAAGTTTGCCACCTCTAGCCTAATCAATCCATGTTCCAATAATCTCTGATTATTTGACACACTTAACCTTGGCCCAGCTGTGTAATGTAATAAACATTTTTGGCAGTCTACCAGTGAGCGATCGAACGGTCGATGTTTCCTGTTCGCGGAACAGAGATATCATTTGTTAAAAATTGGCCGTCTAACAAATTGGATGGGTCTTAAGCGGTCGAGGCTACCGTTCAACAGATACAGTTCTGCTTCACGCGAAAATAAAACCTAACGCTAACGAGAGATCATTTATTTTCTATAATCCTCGTAGCGTGCGAGCACGTATGTATGTACGTGTGATTCGGATGGCGAATCCGAACGAGCCGTTCGATGGAAATTATATCACGCTAACATTGCTCTCTGCTAACCAACTCTGATCTGTCGTAGAGTGAAACTGTCGTTCAATGAAACTCGACCACTTGTTACGATACGAACTAAATCGCGTTTCTTGATTCATCGCCAGTGTACTTCGTTAATCATATGTTCGTTTGCCGCAAGGTTACATTGTTATTACCCATTGTTTCGTCAATCGGGTTATTTGCAGCCTGTTTATGCAATTGAAACCGGCTGCTGTTGATTAACACGGCATCAACAAATAATCAACAATAATAGTGCAACTATTCTCTTCGCTTATGTGCATACGTACGTATATAATTGGGGTGTCGAGTATTCAACAAATTGGAAACAGTTCGAAGTGAAATGATTCGCGCAGCGAATGTACAGTGTGCAACGAAAGTATTCGGACGGCATGATAGAAAATAATTGATTATACAAAGTTTGTTTTAATAAAATTGCACTTTATTGAAACAAATTGTTTTCATACTATGGTATATACATTTGCTATATAATATGTGCAAAGTTAGAGAAAAATTAAACCATAAGTAAACAAATTACATAACATTTCTCACGGATAAGTACATATAAGGCATAGGAAAAGTATTCGAACACAATTTTAATAGTCATGATAGAATGCAATATATGTGATTATATTTAATTGCATTTTAATATCTAGTTGGGCCACCTTTGGCTTTAATAACCTCTCGA